CTGTAAAGTAATGTTTAAACAAATTATAAGGTGTTGCTAAAGGCCATATACTTGCATTCTTGGATTTAAAAGAAATCATCCAATAGATGAATAGTCTCTCATTCACTTTGGTTGAGTAACTAATTGTTCTTTGTATAAAACCAATACATCATAGTGGTAAAAATTACATTTCTTAAGACTCCTCATAATCTGGTCATCATCTTTATCACTCATTAAATTGCACAAAGCCTCTCCCTCCTATAAGTTTTTGTACCTACTTTTTCTCTGATTCCTACGAGCAACCAGTTTCCTTCCAACTTTTTTTTATTTTTTATTTCTGGTGGCACTGGGGTTTGAACTCAGAGCCTCACACTTGCTAGGCAGGCGCTCTACCATTTGAGCCACTCTGCCAGCCCCTGATCCTCTACCTTTAGCCTCCTGTACTGCTAAGATAATATGCCCTCACCACCATGCCTGGCTCTAGCTCCCTGCTTTTAAATAGCTATGTATTAACTATTACATCCTATTAGCTTTTCTGATGTCATTTTAGCATCTCCTCAAAGCCTCACACAGGTTTTCAATCTATACATGAGACTATAATAGCCATATCAGAATATAAGAATGCATATTTAAAAGAAATTTGAGTATGATATAGTTGATACATGGTAATGCTACAATGTACCCCACCCAGAACAACAATAAAAGGAAAAAAGAGAGAGAGATGAAAAGAAAAAAGAAATTTGAAATCAGGTATACTGGTGCACGCCTGTAATCCTACCACTTAGAAAGCTAAGGCAGGTGAATCAAGAGTTTGAGGCCTAGCCTGGGATATATAGCAAGTTCAAAGACAGCCTGGGCTACAGAACAAAGCCCTGTCTCAAACAAACAAACAAAAAATCTGATTTTCTTCATAGAGAAATTCCAAAAATATACATCCCATTAAATGTACATGTGCCTCAATTTTACTTGAGAAGTTGGAATCATATACCTGGGCCAAAAAAAAGTTTTTTAGAATCATTACTATGTTCATTGTGGAAAAACTAGATCACAGATATAAAAACTGAAGATATGACCCTACAACTTAGAAAAAAATCACATATTTCAAATTATATCTTTCTACTTTTTCTGTTTATACATACATAAACATATATTTTGATACATAAATGGTATACAGGCTGTTTTATAGCCTTCTTCATTTAACATACAGTGCAAATCTTTTGTAAGTTATTAAACATTATCTTACAACATAAATATTCTAGTTGCACAGTGTTCCCAAATATGAACATGCCTTAGTTTAATCTTTTATTTATGTATTTGTTTGCATGGTTGAGGATCAAACTCAGGGTCTCATAAATGCTAGGCAAGTGCTCTACCACTGAGCTATATCCCTAGACTCTTCTTAAACTGTTCCTAAATTTTTATTCCTTTAAATGATGCAAAAGGAAAAAACAAAAACAAAGGAAAGGTTGCTGAATGTTCTTTCACATTTCTCTGTCTCTCTCTTTTTTTCTTTTTCCAGGGTGCAGTACTGTGGTTTGAACTCAGGGCCCCACTCTTGCTAGGCAGGTGCTCTACCATTCGAATCACACCAACACTTTTTGGGTTTTAGTTGTTTTTCATGTAGGGTCTCAAGTTCAGATTCTGATCCTCCTACCTATGCCTCCCCCATAACCGGGATTCACAGGCATGTCACCATGCCTGACTTAACTGAGATGGGGTCTTGTTAGCTTTTTGTTGCCTGGGCTGGATTTGAACCATGACCTGCCCAATTTCTACCTCCCAAATAGCTGGGAGCAGAGGTGGGGATCAATGCACCCATGTCCTTCATATTTCTTACAAATAGCAGTGCTTTTGGATGAACTGAGCAGGGTTTTTAGTCCTATAGAATACTTCCATCTACAGCTACAACTTTGCCTTCATTCATCATGGAGTCTAGCAAAATTCTCTCCAGAAGCATTGATGGGTTAAAGAGTAAACATGCTTCCAAGGCTTCTGATGGATATTGTCAAACTACCCTCAAAGAAAATGGTCCCAATGTGCTTTTTCTCCAGCAGTGTACTTTTTACCTGCAAGGGATTATCATAGCATTAAGAAATTATCTTCAGAACTCCCCCACACTCTCTTTCCTCCAGGGTCCTCCATATCTTCATCTGGAGTACTCCACCATTCCCAGACCACTTTCATTTGTGATTTTCCACTACTCAAGTGTAATGATGCCTCTGCTTTAACCCTGAAATTTGCCTAGTTAGTATTTTATCCCCTTAGACTCTTAGGGCTAAAGTATCAACCAACTAATCTGATAAGCTCAACTCTGCTAATGTAAAGGGCTGTCATCCCTAGCAACATGTCTGCAATATAACTCTAACAGTTTAAGAACATATATTATCTAGAACAGCAGCATGCTTTACTTTCTACAGCAGTGATTTTCAAGATTTGCTGCAAATGAAATCACCTGGGGAATTTTTTTAAACACTGATAAAAATACTTATCTCCCAGAGATTCTGAGTAACTTTGGTATAGGTGATGATCCGGGCATCAGAATTTTTTAAGGGTCCTAATGAGGCATCTCATCTGTGTCTGACTTGAGAGAGATTCTAAGTAGGTTCTTCTTAGGTAATACTGGAGGACCCCAAGGAAGAAAAGTGCCATGAACCTAGCTTCCATAATCTGACTCATGGCGTAAAATGAAGGAGATGAAAGGAGTAGTGAAGGGTGAAGCGTCTGCAAGGACAAGAGAATAGAGTAGTACTCATTTTTCTGTGCTAGGTAGGTGCTGTTGAGTTAGGAAGCAGGCCAAATTTAATCTCTTAAATGGCTTCAATTACTTTTGTAACTGAGTTAATCAATTCAAACTAAAATTATTTGACAAACAAGGTTTATGCCATGCAATTTAGTGGCAGCTCTCTAGGTTTCAATGATATAAATTATTTCCACTTTACTTTTTTGGGGGGTGTGGGGAACATGAACCAGCTAAGCAAAGCAAGTGCTCTACCATTGAGCTATATCTCCAGCCCCAGTTTACACTTAGTTAATTATCTGAACAACGTTGGGCAGTCCTACAGATATTCCCCATAATCCATAGTGGGACATTGAGGACAACTCTTAGAATAACCAGACATTTAAATACACTCCAGGCCTGGGGCTATAGCTCAGTGGTATAGTGCTTGCCTAGCATGTACAGGCCCTGGCTTGGATTTCTATTTTATGGGGAAAACTCTGGAAAATTACTTTATTGAATAGAATGTTTTCATCTGGTCTTAATAAACTTGCTAATATTTCACAATTCAGAAACGAAGTGGCAAGAGTCACTTCTCTACAAGCCTACTCCTAAGCCACAGAGTCAGGTGAGGACTCTTGCTATCCCATCTATTGCTGGGACCTGACATTACAGGTTCCCACTTCCAAGCACGTCTGAGGGCACACTATAGAGGACCCCATATAGCCTTGCCCTTGATGGTCTAGCAGCCTACCTGGAGAAGAAAAGCTTTTTTCCAAACCTGGCTCTTCCTAAGTTTCTTATAAGACTTCCTTCATGACCTGAAAGGGGCAGGCACAGCAGTTTCTTTATTTCTGTTTTCCTTATTTTTATGCAATGTAGAGGGCCATCCATTCAATCCACATGGGGAAATACCATTGTCCTACAGCATCTTCAAGGGTGTTACTTCCAAATTACATAATTCCATGAGGAAGAGAGGGACTTTAGGGCTTGCTACATGAACGTTGACTTTCTTGGTAGCAGTGTTAGGGAAGGGTATGGTCATTTTCCCACCATCTCAAAATTTTGGTAAGCAGGAGGGAAGGGAGGAAGTCGATAGCTTCATAGACTTTTCCCAGTTGACAATATGGGCTTTGGAGTTGGAATGTGGTTGGATTTGGGAAAAAGCAAATTTATACTAGGAAGCACTTCAATACCCTAGAGATAAGGGGACTTTTAATAGGACAAAGCCTCCAAGGGCTGTAATCTTACACACAGGGCACAGGAAGAAGGAATATAAACCCTCCGGAAAAATCATGTGGTTTTTTTTGCTTTCTGCCTTTGTCTATTTGTAATTCTGAAAGGACTTTACAAAAATAACCTAGATTAAAGCCCAAGGTTGGGGGGGCGGAAGGGGAGGATGGAGGTGACTTGGCTTTGGAGGAGGGTTGAGTTTAGATAAGAAGGCAGGCGGCTCAGAAACGCAGTCCAATCATAGCGCTCGGCCTTGGCTGCAGGCTGAAGCTCTCAGTAAAAACAATGCCTTCTGCCTTGGAATAAACCAGAGACAGTTACATTTTTCTGTCTATGGGCGGAAAGAAACAATAAGCCCGTGGTTCAGTGGAGAGAAATGTTACCCTTCCAGGTGAAGGCAAGGTATCCTAACACAGGCAAAGGTTATCTCCTTGGGAATCAAGGACAAAATAAATGCAGCTAGGCAGGAGGAAAACACAAGGGCCGCCGCCGCCCCCGCCACCTTTGCAGCCAGTTGGGCGTCCTGGCCTCCTTTCTTGGCTGAGCTGAGCTGAGAAGTGCCACGGTTGAAACTGGAGATCCGTGCCTGCCGACCCCGGGAGAGGAGCGAGCCCAAGGCCAGGGGGCGATGGGAGACTGCCATGCCCGCTTCAGCTTTAAGGTGGCTGTATTCCCGGGAATCCGAACCTGTTTCCCTAACACATTTAACTCACTTTCTACCGGCCCCTATGGGAGACCAAAATGGGGGCGCAGTGGCTTATAAAATGCTGCAGGATTTGGCTTTTAACACTGCAAACCAAGAAACGGGGAACATTTAGGACTGATGAATGAGTAACAGCTGTCAAATGCCTTCCGAGAACTTCACCTCGTCCATCACACACAGATCCAGCCCGCCGACAGCCAAGAGGCGCAGGCGATACCCTGAAAATGCCTGGCAGGACCACCTTAAAAGCGATCGCCTGGCCGCGTTAGGAAAAAACGCGTTCTCACATAACCCGGTGGCGAAATTGAATTAAAAATTAAACCGTGTTTAAGAGGAGGGAGAGGGGAGCAGCGCCGGGCTGCGCCTCACCACTTGCTGTGCGCCCCGGAAAGTCGCGTCCAGCAGCATCAGCTTCCAGGGGTCGGACACCGAGCTGGGCAGCGGGATGTAGACGTAATAGGCGGCCAGCGCCACCAGGGCGGTGAGCAGGACACAGGACGCCCTCATCCTCCCCGGTGCGACTGCAAGCACTGGCGATGCCACCCAGGGTCCTCTGGCAAGTTTCTGCCAGCCGCAGCGGCTCCTTCACGTGTTTCTGATGAGCCCGGCAGCCAATCGCAGGCGGCGTCGGGAGGAAGTGGGAGCGCGAACGTGCCCGTTCTTGAGTGTCCTTGCCAAGTGCAGCAGGCTGGCCAGGTTTGAGGAAGCGCGCCCGGCGCCCGGCGTCGCACAGCGGACCCTGGAGGACACTGTGTGTATTGCACGCCGGTGACCTTGGGCCTCCTCCCCTAGGTTGCAAAGGAGAAACTACAATAGGTTCAGCGTGATGGGTCCCTGACTCCAAGTGCAGATCGAGAAAGACAGTAAAAGTCCCCTGTCTAGAGCCGGACTTTTAATGCAATGAAAATTTTAGCTATGTGGTGGAAAAAGAGAATAACAAATTCCTTACAGTTTAGTAATCCCAAATCTTGGTTTCCAAATCACATTCCTCAATAAAAGGAATCATGGATCTTTGTCACATGTCCTTGGAGAAAAGGCAGGTTCCAAAGCTGGGACAGGGAAACTCACAAGATGAGGCTATTGTGCCAGAGGATGAAAAGTGCTCAAAAAATGATGGGGACTTGTTAGAAGGTCACAGGTAGCAGTATGAAGGATCTCCGCATGGATAAGGCTAGGATAATTTTAGCATAACAACAAATCATCATAATGAATTATAATTATAAACCTGGTGAAGACCACCTGAAAGAATTCTTTTTGTGAGGCAGTAGAAGCAGGAGAGGGATCCGAATCCAGACTTCCTGTAAAGACCGGAGGAGGTGGGGAGCAGGGAATGAGGCAGGGAAAACTTCACTAGCAGAATTACAACCAGAAGTTCAGAAGCAAAACATTTAGGGCTGTTTCAAGGAGGTGGTAGGAGAGCAACTCTAAACCTATTGACCAAAGCCTTAAAATGCCTGGGTACATACAGTTATGCATTTTAATAATCTAGATTTAATCTAACCCATGGAGTGAGATAACTATATATTCGGAACTAAGAATGAGATTATTAGGAGAATCTTGGTGGTAATTGTTAATTTGAAGGGCACACTTCAATGTGTTTCAAACATAAATTTGAGGGAGTTGTTTTCTGATTTTTTAAATTGCAGTTATTGGATAACAGGTTTATACATGTTTTGACAGGGTGTATGTGCATGAAGTTCGAAGTGAATCCTCAGGGTAATTAGAAATAATCTCAAAGATATAAGCCAACCTGACTCCTGGATTTGATTCCTTGTTTTCAGATAACCTGAAAAATAATTCAGCTTTAAACTTTTATCTTTCTGGATTTTGACTATATATTCATAAAATCATAGATTTTAGAGCAAATGACAAAACCAAACAAAAGCAAAATCCCCCTACCTAACCCAGCCTTTCATCTTCAACCAGTAGTAACCAGCTCAGTGTTATAATAGACGAGCCTCTGAGGACTAGAGCAGCTGAACCATCCTCTAGGTTATAAGTAAGAACCAATATTTACTTTTCTGCCTCCCAGAGAAGGCAGCTCCTCTAAAGCAGTACACTGAGAGATAGACACTAGGATGGAACAAAGAAAGTCAATAATTCTTCATTCTGAGGATCTGAGAGAAGTTTTTGTTTGCTATTGTTTTTTCGTTTTGCAACAAGATCTCTTATGTATCCCAGGTTAACCTCAAGTTCTTGATCCTCCTGCCTCAGTCTCTATAGTGCTCAGATTACTGGTGATGACAGCACAACCGGCTTAAGAGTTGTGTTGGGTTTTTTTGTTTTGTTTTGTTTTGATCTTTCGTGTGTGTAAGCATGGTGCTGGGGATCAAACCCAGAGCTTTGAACATGTGAGGCAGGTGCTCTGCCACTGGGCTATATCCCTGTCAGAGAGTATGTTGCTGTTGTTTTTTAGTGAGACCAATCCAAGATAAACACTTGCATCATTTGCTCATTGTTGTTATCTGTCTTGTTTTTGTTTTTGCAGTACTGGGAATTCAGTACTCATTCAGGCCCTCAAACAAGCACTCTACCACTTGAGTCACACCCCATCCCTTTTTGTTCATATTTTGTTTGTATTTTGTTTAGGACCTTGCTAACTTTTCCCTGGCTGACCCTGAACTGGAGATCCTCTTGGTCCACCTCTGGAGTGGCTAGTATTTGCAAGCTTGTGCCACCATGCCCGGCCTATCCCTTATTTTTAATACTCCATTCATTCATTCAACAAATACACCTGAAAGAAAAAAAATACACCTGATCCACACTGGGAAATAAGGGAGATAGAGGAAAGCAAGGCAGTAAGGTCTGCTCTTTTTAATTTTACAAGTTTGGTTGGGGGTGCATGGAGAAGAGCATAAGAAAGGTACCGTAGGGAAGGCTGAACAATAAACAAGCAATAGCCTGTATGCTTGGTGTGCTTACTTCCAGCCAGATTCTGTGGCAAGCACTTTGAAAGGATTGACTTAGCTTTTATAAGAATTCTGTGATCCTCTATTGTTATTGTGAAAAGAGAGGCATAGAAAACTGAAGTACTTTGCTGCAAGTCACCCAGCTTGTTGGGATTTGGGCTCACCGAACCTGGGCCTAGTTCTCATGGGCTTTATCATTCATCTCTACTGCTAAGTGATAATGAACGTCTGTAATCCTAGCTACTCAGGAGGCAAAGATCAGAAGGATCCTGGTTAAAAGCCAGCCCCAGGCAACTAATTCAAGAGACCCTATCTTGAAAAAGCCCATCACAAAAATAGGGCTGGTGGAGTGGCTCAAGGTGTAGACACTGAGTTCAAACCTCAGTGCTGAAAAAAAAAAAAGAAAAAGAAAAGAATGTGAAGAAAATACAAGACCGGAGTTGGCTCCCTGGGTTGGGAGCTGCTGTAAGTTGATGGAGAAGTGCCTTTTTGAGGAGATACCATATACATATCAAAGCTGGGAGTGGTGGTACATGCTTATAATCCCAAGCATTCGGGAGTTCAAGGCCAGTCTGGACCATATATGGAGATCCTTCCTCAAACCAACAATAATAATATCTCAAAGGGGAGAAGACTTCATTGTCTAAGAGGAGTTCTTGCTTTGGCAGCATTCAGTGAAGATGAGTATGGCCCTTATGCAAGGATGACATGCAAATTCATGAATTATTCCATAATTTAAAAAAATGACTAGATGGAGCAGCCTTGCTGGGACCTGGCGGCCAAGGAGAGAAGTACAGAGGCTCAAAGATGCTGTCACCACAGACAGAAAGGGTGCTAATGAGGTAGGTCTAATTAGTGAAGGGTAGTGGTCCAGTCTTCATTAGAGAGGCAGGGAGGTGTGGACCAGCAGATCATTTGGGAGCAGTAAGCTGTGGATAAGGATCTTGCCTGGATATTCTAGCCCATAGGAAGCAACCAGAGATTTTGAAGCAGAGAAGCAGTGTGGTCTGACCTGCATTCCACAGGTCACTGCAGCTGGTCTGTGGAGAGCAGGCCTATCAGGTGGCTTTGCAGTAGTTCAGGTGAGAGATAATGACAGGCTGGAGGAGAGCTTAGTAGTGGAATGGAGGTAAGGAGATGAATTTAGAGTACAGATTGAGGAGTTAAGACATACTCATAGATTGTGAAGAGTGATAAATACAGAAGTCAAGTGCTGGAGGCATGACTCAAGTAGTAGAGAGCCTGTCTAACAAGTGCAAAGTTTAAACCTCAATACAGCTGAGAGAAAGAAAGAGAGATAGACAGACAGACACAGAGAGAGAGAGAGAGAGAGAGAGACAGAGAGAGAGAGAGATCAATAAAATCCTTTGTTTTTAAGGAAATAAGGTGGAGTTTGAGTCAAGCAATTAAGTTTTCTGCTTTTATAGAATTGCCATAAATTATTCTTAAAATCTCCTGAATTTATGACACAGCAAAAACAATAGTCCACAAAAATCTTTATTTTTATTACTTAAAACATTTTATCCCAAATGCCATATGTGATACCATATGAAGTACGCTTCTTTATCCTAGACAAGCAAACCTTAATTCAACATTTACTGAATCTTATCCATAAGGTAGGCACTGAGTGATGAAATTATGGCTCCTTCTCCACCAGAAATGTCCACCATCAGCCAGATATGGTGATTCATGCTTGTCATTCCAGCACTTGGGAGGCAGAGGCAAGAGGATCATGAGTTCAAGGGCCAGCCTGGGCTATAAGACTCGGTCTCTAAAGGAAAAAAAAAAGAGAAATGAATTATTTGAAATCAGAATTCCTTTCTGGAAGAGTGAGGAGTAAGATCACCTAAAAGGTAATGACTGAGCAGGCTCTATAGGTGGAAGAGAGGTGTGCAGGGTACTAACAAATGAGACCACCCTAAGCAAACAGAAGAGGATGTGCAAAGTTCTGAAGGATAATGTGAGCAAAGAACTACAAGAAGTTCTGTATTTCTGGAGCAGCAAATGCAGGGAGGTAGAGTGCAGTGAGGGCTGAACCTGAAGAGTTTGAGGTTGCAGGCTGCAGGACCTTAGGCATGGTGGCAGAGTTTGAACATAATCCTGCTGGCAGTGGGGAGGCAGTGAAGGGTTTTGCAAAAGACCACGCTGTAGCAATGTACAGGGTACATCAGTGGGGAGAGACCGGGGAAGCTGTTGGGTGAGTGTTCCTTCTAAGATATCCAGGAAGGAGATATTCACTTGTTGTCTTACGTGATGATGAGGTAAATAAAGAGTTAAAAGATGTCTAAGGGGTAGAATCAAGGAGGTTTGATGGAGAAGAGAAACAGTAATCAAGAATTCCCAGGTTTCTGCTGAAGTAACTGGAAGGATGATTTGCTTTTCAGAGATAAAGAATGATGGCACTGTGAGTAGTGGCTCATGCCTATAATACCAACTACCCAGGAGGTAGAGATTGGGAAAACTGAAGAAGATCAAGGCCAGAACAGGCAAAAAGATTGAGAGACCCCATCACAACCAAGAGCTGGACATGGTGGTATGTGCTGTATCATCCAAGCTAAGAGGGAAGCTGAGATGGAGAATCACAGTTCCAGGCCCTGTCTCAACAGAAAAAGCTGGGTGTAGTGGTGTGTACCTGTCATCCCAGCTACTGCATGAAGCACAAATGGGAGCATCACAATCCAATCAGCCAAGGAATGAATTCAAACCCC